GGACCCATGGCCCAAACAACGCCATCTTCTACCCCAAGGGTGCGAACAGTACCCGTGCCCTTTAGAAAGGGCCAGAAGAGTTTTCCCTTTCCCTGTCCCCCACACCCGCTAACCGCAGGCCCCCACTGCATTTATTAAAGTTCATGAGCTGTCCTCAGCACTTGGCATGGCCGAACCGCCCGCTCCATGGACGTCTCTGTGGTTCCGACGTGCCTGACATGCCCCAGCCCCTGAACCACCCATGTGCCGTTAATGCCGCGTCTCGTCTCTCCTGCGGCTGGAGTCCTCCCTCGTGCAGACGGACCACGTCTTCCCGCGCCCATCCTGCAGGCTGGGCCCTCGGGGGGACCGAGGTGAGGACTGGGGAGGGAAGAGCAGGGCCCGCGGAGCCCGGAGCAGGCTTCCCCCGACACGCAACCATGCCCTGCGGACGCGCAGCTGCTGAGAACCCCTTTGCCAGTGCCACAAGCGTCACGGGGGAGCCCCACAAGCCACCCCTCCCCCGGAGAGCCTCCCAGCCCTCGCTCGGCGGCGGCTATGATGCTGTCCGACTCCTACCGTTTCTGCAGGAAGACATTACTGTGTGCATGTCGTTTGCAGGTGGAACTTCCAGGTTCTTCTTTCAATGCTAGTGACAGTGACGAGACACGCTCAGGCGCCCGGGGCCTCACGGTGGGGTCTCCAACCCGGCTCAGCGTCGGCCGGCCCTGCTCCCACCTCGAGCAGGTGCTGAACTGGCCAACTCTGACGCCCTGGACAGAGCCCACGTGCTGGGGGCACCCTTCTCAGAGCCTGCTCTTCAGCGCAGCTGAAAAGCCACTTTTTAAAGTTTTTTTTTTTTGGGGGGGGTGTTCTGTTAAGTGAAATGAGTCAGTAGAAAGACAAATTCTGATTTCACTCATGTGGAATACAGAGAAACAAAGCAAAGGAACAGACAAACTTGAACCAAAACAAACTGAAAAGCTGACTGTAAACCTGAGGCTACCGGGGCAGGGTGGGGGGTTGCAGGGGGAGGGGACCCCAGTGGTGGGTGGCAGCTATGGGTGCTGGTGGCGGGTGTGGCACTGTAGGGCATAAACACCTACAACATGTAGTGTTGTCTCCAAGGTCACCTCCAACAACGTAATAGACAAACAATTAAACTGCAGAATTGAAGCCACTTAAGCACAGAGGCGGATCTGGGAGAATCTTTCCAGGTTTCTCACATCCATCTGGTAAGAGGAAAAGAACCTACGTAGCAGGGAAGCAGGGCTCTGTAATCAGCTGGGTTTCACGCGTGTCACATTTCTGGCGCTGTCTGCTTCCTTTCATCCTGCACGGCTGCGGGGAGAGAAACGCGCTGGCTTTCCAAAGGTGAGAATCTCGCCCGCTGGAAGAAAAATCGCACTTCTCGTTAAGCTGGCTTTTCTTTGGAAGCGTTCCAGCTCCTTGTAAATATTCTTTCACGCTGCAATGCAGGTAGGTGGTAGATCTTTCTGGACAAGGGGGGACCGAAGCTCTTCGCCATACAGAGAGGTGGTGGCTCTCCTGCCTGGGGTGGAGGGCGGGGAGCAAACAATGCTTTAAAAATAAGAGATAGGACAGATGTGGCCTAAAACGGGAATAAGAATGGTATACAAAATACCAAAAAAGGAGAATTTTCCTTTCGCAGGCTTGCTCTCCACCATGGCACCTCAGGAGTAGACCTGGGGCTGGGGGCTGCAGGCTCTGGGGCTGGGGCCCTGGCACTGGGGATGCTGGCACCGTGGGCTGGGGCCTTCGCCGGCCTGGCCCTGAGAAGCAGGCCTCATGGAAGGACAGTTTGGCTGAAATCAGAGATTTTTCTCTCTCCCTCTATTTCTGCTGGGAAGCAGGATCAAGAATACAACTCCCTTTTAAAGTCAGAGCTGAAGCTAAAGTGATGAGCGTGGACGTGATGCTGTGGCCGCTGGACTAGACTGAGGTGACCCGTCCCAAGGACAGCAGAGTGTCCCCTGTGCTGGGTCTGCCACAGACATTAAATTCCTTTAATCGGGAGGCTGACCCTGCGAAGTGCCATGGCTTCCCCATCCGGGTTTGAAGATGAGGCCGCCCCAGCAGAGCACCCCATTCCAACCCCCACTCCTGGTCTTTCTTTTCCTCCAATGAGGAGACAAGAGGCCTTAATGTCTTTAAATGCCACAGTGATGGCTCTGCAGTATCAGGCCTGGGTGTGGGTCCCAGGCTGAGGAGCCTTGGCAGGAGCACCCTGGGCAGACAGAGCAGCACAGGCCACCCAGCTGCCAGAACTCTCCCACCTGACCACCTCGCCCTGCTTGCCTCACCGGGCCGCTTGCCCACACACAGCCACCAGGGACTGGCTGCAGAGGGCAGGGTGGGGCTGGGCCTTGTGGGGGTTTCTGAAGTGCCGGCAGCGCTGAAGCTGTGGGGTTGTGGGCAGCATGCCTGCACTACCTCTGGGCCCTGCCCTGCTCTTGGCTTTGCAGAAACCAAGAACAGCAGCAAACTGCTTCTATTTAGCTGGGCAGCTGCCCATGCTGATACGCGAGGACGGGCTGGTATTTTCAGGTCCTCCCCGTGTAATGCAGCCCTTCTACACCTGAGGCTCACGTCCAAAAGCCAGCAAGGAGCAAGTTCAACTCTTTAAACCACCCAGAGTCTCATAATCTAATCTACAGAGTGGGGCTAACAGAGTGGGGCTGTTAATAAAGATTAAATCCGAAATGTGTATAAACAATCGGCTACATCCTATACACTGACCCAAGCATGGGGCCGCCACCCCCAGCCTGCAGCACTGAAAAGCCAGGTATAGACAGCAGCTGGGTGAAGATGAAGGAGCCGGTGCTGGATTGGGGGACAGACCCCGGCTGGCAGCGTCCTGCATTGGCCACACTCTCAGCTCCCTATTTGGTGGCCCCGCCGGGCCCCCCAGCCTGTCCCCGGTGCCTCTCCCTGCTTGCTCTCCTGGCTCACACATCTGCCTTTCTTCCCTCTTCACTGTGCTGCAGCGCATCCTTCAGGAGTTCCAGAGAAATGAGGTCTAAGCGCTGCTAAGCCTTTTGAGCCTTGCGCGTCTGGAAATACTTTTAATTTTGCTCTCAAGTTCAGTGGTCTGGGTACTCCAGGTAGAATTATGTTCCTTGGGGTGGCAGCAGGATGGCTCCTTAAAGTCCCCAGAGTGACTGTTGAGACGTGGCTGGCCCTGGGGGTCTTGATCCTGTGTGCTTTCTGGAGTGTCCAATGTCTCCCACAGTTTCACCCCAGAGTGGGCCTCTTCTGCACCCTGCGCGCACCTGCTCCCTAAGGCGCGAGGCCTTGGCTGCGTTCTCGCCTCCTGTCTTCTGTTGTCATTTTTGGAAACTCCTGTATCCTCGTCTCATCTTTCCTATATTTTCCGTTTTTTGTCTTTTTGTTCTGTCTTCTGGGAGATTTCTTCCACTCCAGTCCTTCTTGTTGGATTTCTGATTTTTCATTTCATACCTTCTTACACGCATTTTCTCCCCTTCATTTAAGCGCATCCCGCTCCTGCCTTCCTGGCACAGGGTCTTTTCCCGTTTCTCAGCAGAATTACATGTGGTTTCTTCAAAGTTTTCTCCGGTCTTTGCATCGCCTGTTTTCCCTGTTGCTTCTTCTGCTTAGCGTGCCCCCTCGCATGCTGGAGGCTGCTCTCTTCCACCAAGGAGCCAGGCCCCGAGCTTGGCAGCAGCTGGCAGCGCCGCCTGCGTGGGCAGGGCTCGCCCCTGAGGGGCTGGGGGCTGGCCTTCTCACTGGAGACCCCGTCAGCACCGGCAGAGCAGCTCCCTGGCACCAGCCACCTCCACTAATGAGCAACCCTCTGCTCTGACCAGGGCCAAGCCCCTCACCAGCACGTCTGCACCAGCCCCGAAGCAGGCCCGCCCCGGGGCTGGGGCTCCCGGCAGCACGCAGACGCCTGCTGTGGGGGCAGCAGGAAACACACATATGGGACTTGCTCAAAGTCCCAGATGCTTTCAGGTTAACCCGAGGATACACCTAGTGCAGCGAGAGCCTTTTCTTTCCACCACTTCCAACTGGGAGGTTTTACAACTGAAGCTGGGGAGGGAGGCCAAGAGCCTCAATGGCCGGCTTCTTTCCCTGCGGTTTAGGGGCGCACACTGTGTCCCCTTGTTTCTGCCTGTCAACGGCCAGACTCGAGACCCTGCCATCAGCACCGTGCCCGTTCCCAGAGTGATGAACTGTTTCTTCACATGTTATGAGCTCGCTGACAGGGGAAATGAAAAAGACACTGTTGTTTGAGACCTACATAGGGGCATTATTGAGTTCTTGACCTGGTCTGCTCTTCCAGGGCCTTTGGGAGAAGCTGGGGGAGAAAAACAGGAAAGAGATGCCGGGAGATCTCGGCGCAATTCCCCTGGGGGTGGGGGGCCAGGGCAGGGTCATGCGCCCTCTGGGCTGCCCACTTGGGGACTCCTCCCACCACGAGGACGGCACCGAGCTGCCAAGTGCAAGAAAGAACTCATTGAGTCCCGCTGCCAGGCCCGCCACGGCCCAGCGGCTCGCAGCCTGCGCTTGAGAAGTGAGGCTGTTTCAGACTCTGGATCGGAGCATAAAAGGCCTTTAAACACTCGTGGTAATTTCTGGGCTTTGATTATAGGTTAGCTTGCTGTGTGAGACAAGCCTGAAACATATTTATTAAATATTATCCGTTTAAATGCCTACTATAATTACCAGAAACAGATGACTCTACGCAGTTCAGAAATTATTAAAAACTGGAGTCAGAGGCCCTCAAGAAGATGAAAGCACTTACCCACTTTGTTCCACAGCTGTGCATGCTGAAAATGCTGAGTTGAATTTAAAACAAAAATCACGGTTCTAACATTTACTCCAAAGTGACCCAACGCGTGTAGGAAACAGACGCTGTCAGGTGCTACAGGAGCCCGACATCCACTCCCCGCGGGGCCGTGAGCCCTCCCTGCCCTCTCGGGCCGCCTGTCCAGCTCGGGGGCCGCAGCCCTGGCCTGCACGCGCCTCACTGCACTTACCAGGTTTTTAAAGAGCGCGGTCAGCTCCTTGGTAAAGACGGAGAACTTCAGGAAAGCACTTCCCAGGTCCGGGTCATCTCTGCACACGCAGTTGCCACCAAACTTCTCCAGGGCTTGGGTGTACTGCTCCTCGTTCTCCACATGCGCTGCAAGGGAGCAGGGGGTGCACTGTTAATATACTGACCCCTCTGCCCATCCACCCGGGGCTTCCGAGCTGCCAACAGGCTGCAACATGTGGAGAAATGCAAGCCACGCCAGGAACAGAGAGTGCTGCTACCACAGCGACCCACCGGGCAGCAGCGGACCCCAAAGAACAAGACGGCCAGAGGGCACGAGACGAGCCTCCCTCCGCGAACAGCGTCCCGGGTGTGAAGGCCAAGGAGCCCTGATGCTGTCCACGTGTCCCAGCACCACTCCTGGCGTTGTGCAATGCCCAGCGCCAGCTGTCAAGTCGGCGGGCTCAACGCCTGACTGCTATAGTAGGCCAGGGGAGAGGTCTACCTGCGCTAGCCTGCAGCTTAAGATGGTGCTAACCCATGGTGTCCAGGCTCAGATTCCACACCTCTGCCCAGACGCCCTGCCCTCCTGCCTCCTGCGCACCCACGGACCCATCCTTCCTCCAAGAAGCTCTCCATGACTACTCCATGGGCTGGTGTCTGGCCTGGGCACCTTTCTACCCTTGCACTTAGCATGTTACACTGAAGTTGTCTGGTGCATGAGTCCCTGATATGTTGGAGGTGCCTCAGGGCAGGCATAAGTTTTACACATCACGTCTGGAGAGAAGAGACACGCCCTGACCTGCCATCTGACGGCACCTGAGGGCCACCGTCTCAGAGCAGCACCTGCAAGGGCGGGCGCCTGGGCTCGGGCCTCCCACGTTCCCAACCCTGCTGGATGTAGAGTCCCGCCCGGTTCCAGCCACAGGAGCAGGAGCCCTGGGAGGAGACACAGGGAAGTCAGTGACGCTGGAATAACGCCCTCGCTTCAGGGCAGATGTTTTAAAGTGAATCCAGCCAGTCTCCAGTAAAACAGCTTCCGTTGGCATGGACACCTGATTTCTGTTTTTTCAGCACTTCAGTAAGAAATGCCACACAGCGAGCCTGGCGGCTGGCGAGGGTAGACAGAGGCACAGCTGCACGTGGGTGAGCGTCAGGATGGGGCACTGCAGCGTCTGCAGTGGGAACCAGGCTGAAGCCCCTGTGGCGCCTGACTGTCTGTCAGGGCACGAAACCAACGCCAGGCAATGCCAGCTGGCTGGGCCGATAGGCACAAGGGGGACAGTGGAGGAGGCCAGGCCTCGGTCTGACCCCCAGGAGCAGGGTTTGCCAGCCCAGCCTACCAGGGAGGTGTTCGCCCCTAACCTCCAGCAGCCCCCAGTGCCGTGGGGGTCACCATGTGGATCTGAGAGTCACAAGAGAAACAATTTCACTGTTCTGGGTCTTTCTTTTTTGATATTCCAGAAAAGAATCGGAGAGCTCTGCACAAATAAATTTCTGAGATTATACTCAGCAAACCAGTTAAGATGGACGGACAGAGGGACACATACACCCTGCCCTGGGAAGGCTCACGGAAGGCCTGGCTCCAGTCCGTGCCTTCCCGGAGGGCTCCTGCACCGGGGCTGGGGTCTGGCTGCAGGAAGGAGGGAGGTGCTGCGACCTGATTGGGGTCAGGCTGGAATCTGAGAACGAGGCGGGACCTGAGCTCAGTCCCAGCCGACAGCAGCACAGGTGTCGTTTCTGGGGGCACAGGTGACTCCTCATCTGTGGTCTCTGCACTCACACCCACTTGGTCCCACAGGTATCGATTCTCAGAACGTTGAAGGGGGATCGGGGTTCAAAGAGATCATACAGCTTGTCCCAGAAGACAGCCGGACAGGGCAGAGCTGGGGTGTGGTGTTTAAACCCAACTCTCTGGACATCCAAAACCGCCCCCCCGTGACGCGCACGTCTGTGGCTGAGAACAGCTCACCTCGGCCAAAGTGCCCAAGTGTGAAAAATTCCGTTTCAGTGACAGACAGAGTCATGCCTCCTATTTCCCACTAGTTATAATTCTAGCATGCAGGGTTACCACAGGCAGATCCTTACAAACCAAATGCTATTTTGTGCTCAGAACTAGGGGTTGAAGGGGCCACGCCAGGGTGGTCTAGAGGGAGCGGTGGCCATGAACAGCATCAAGGCTGCGGCCCCTTCCCCCCTAGTTCACAGCAGCTTCCTGGCAACACCCTGGAGGGGTCTGCCCCAGGGTATCCTTCATGGGGCTGGGGGAGGTGAGTGCAAAAGCACAGATGGCTGAGCAAGGGCTGTACCTCCCCTGGGAGCTCTGAGCACCCCCCCAACATGGTGACTGGACCCCGTTACAGCAGTTTAGGTCCATGCCCACAGTGAGGAGGGTTTAGTAAGTGCCTTTTGTTAAGCCTTTTGCTCAGTTCAAGGTAATAGCCCTTTGAGGCAACTACGATCACCCTTTTTTCCTTTGGGATGATCTGGGGTTCAGAGGGGTGACATGACCTGCCCAGGACTGCACAGTGGGAGGGGGCGAGACAGGAGCCAGGTCCCATGCACGGTCACACGGCGGCTGCTCCGGCCCACAGGCACCGCAGGGGGGACCCCGCTTCCCTTCGCCAGGACTCAGCCCCCGAGAAGGGATGCGCAGCGAGGCTGAGCGCCAACTCCAGAAACAGAACAGGCTGCCGCCCGCCTTCCCGCTGGGCTCCCCAACCGGCCACCTGGTACAGGTCCGGCTGGTAAAATTCCCGCCCTTACACATCCCCAGATAACGCGCCAGCCTCAGCAGTCCGGGGCGGGTTGGTGAGTCTTCTGGCTCCTCCTGCTCATTTCATGTATTTATAGTTCATGTGTTTGGCTCCACTGCCACCATCATCATTGCCGGCAGCGCCAACGGCCCCAGTGTGGGGCAGGGGCATCTCTTCTTGCCACTCCAGTTGGAGTCTATAACACATCTCTCTCTTCTTGCAAACAAACTGGAAGCCTCTGGATAAAGCCACCACCCTGGGTCGCTCCCTGCCTTCCCGAACAGCCTGCAGCACCCACTGTGTAGGCAGCAAGCCCCCCCTCCACAGACACCTGTGAGCTGTTCCGGATCCCCCAAGTTTGAGATTGTCTTACTAGACAGAAAGTAGTCGAGCGCGTCTATGTTTCTTTTGCCAAAAGCAAACTTAAAATAGGAGCCTAATATAAATAGCTTGGGAATAATAAAGTTTCTGGAAAGAACCCAAACTGGGTCTATCAGCTTTTATTTCCAGAATTGTGAAAGCTGATCTTCTAAAAAGAGCTCGCTCTCCCACCTCCCACTTGTTTAAATATATCTTCAACTCTGGTTTTTATTAATGATCCAGACCTCAGAGTCTCTGATGTGGGAGGAGCTTGGGAAAGCGAGACTCGGAGTTGCTGAGACCAGGGTAGGGCCAGACCTGGCGCCTCCCGGGTGTGACCCCGCAGCGCTCCTGTTTGGCTGCACAGGAGTCACGCTTCCCACCACGCCGCGCACAGGATGATGAGGAGGGACGCTCAGACCTTGTTATGAAGCCAGCGAGGTGCACACTGTGGTGAGCGCTGAGGGCCCGGTTTGGGGGTGTAATTTTAGTTTACTCAATTCTGTTATTTTTCAAAAATCAGGGAAAAGGACCAGTTAGCATTTTTGGTTCAAGCAAAAATTGTTGGATCCAAAAAGGACACAAGGGGCCTCCCCAGTGGCGCAGTGGTTGAGCGCTGGTTTGCGAAGCTGCCCGCAGCCTCTGCAGCACTGTTTCGATCCCTGGCTGCTCCCCGGCCACCGGAGGAGGGTCCCACATGGCGCGCAGACCTCTCCTGCCGCCCGCTGCTCCCCTCAGCAGTGTACTTCGGTCCTTCTGCCTGCTCTGCTCTCCGCTCTGGCTCTGGTGAATTCTCTCACCCTCCCGTGCTTCTGACTGTACCCAGTGCTTGTATAAATAAATCAATAAATCTTAAAAAAAGACACAAGGCAGCCCCTTTAGTCCTACTCCAGGGGCTGCCACATTGAGGAAGCCAGTCACAGATGCTGCGTCAGGGCGATCCACCGTGGCCGCCTCTGCTCCATCAGGAGCCTCCGCATCACTGCAGATGCTGCACTCATTACTTCCAGCCCCAACACAGACATGTCACAGCCTGGCCACGGGGGACAAAGACCAGTGCCATCAATGTCGAGGAAGACATGTCAATCCAGGCAGCGATGCCTGCCATGTGCCGGGCATGGAGGACCCAGCGTCTGGGGCTCCAAAGTCAGGAGCCGCTTCCAAACAGAAGCAGCAGGACAGGAAGGTGTCAGCTGGGGAACGTCCAGCCCCCTGTTCAGAAGCTGCAGATACTTTCTTGGGGTGCATCCAGCCCCCCCACCCTCCAGACCAACCCGGGGCAGCCCAGGCCACACAGCTCATTGAAAAGACGAGCAGCTTCCTAAAGATGTGCCCCAGGCGAGGGCGGCTGACGACGGGTGTGGTGCAGTGCGTTCGTGCCAGGATTCTGGCCATTTCCCCGGAGCTGGGCCTCCACCTTGTTGGGTCTCAAGTCTCAGGGGAAAGAGACACCTCAAGCAAGAGAACCCTCACTTCTGTAATGCTCTCTCCCTTGGCCATCCCATGGAAGAAATCATTTTTTAGAATTTTATTTCTAGAACCATCCCAGATAAAGGTCTCTCTGTGCATGATTCGATAGATAATCTGCACTGAGTCTACCCCACATGATTTCTGCCACCCACTAATCCCACTTCTCAAAATCAACGACTAGAAACACTCGCGGTGACGTGCAGACAGATCAGCTTCTAGGAGTGAAAGCAGAAAGTGTGGCCGGCACCGCAGTGTGGACACGGCCCAGAGCGTCACTGCAGGACGGAGCGTCCCAGAGCTTCAGGCCAGCATGCAAGAGCAGGGTCAGGACAGAGGCCAAGTTTCAAAAAGGCAGGACACACCACTGACTACTTCCTCTCGATTCCACAAGGTGAGATGCAGGAAGCGTTGTGAAGGGCGAACACCTCCTCTGCTGACGGTGGAGTCAGCCGTGACCCCAAGCTGCCAAATGCCAGGCCGAGTGCTTGCCCCATGACTGGCCCCTTTCCCAGGTGGGAAACAAGCCAGGCATGTGAATCCCCAGCCGGGGCGGCCACTGTGAGC